GATTTAAAACATTTTCATTTGATAAACAAAAAATGCTAAATAAGTTTATATTACTAAGATGATAACTTAATGTCACTTCCTGTATTAACCATGCACAAAGTTTTGTGACAACAGTATAGCATACTACTGCTATTTCTTATTGCTGCATGACACATTCTGTTTCACACTAATAAGTAATTGCAATCTGCACACAGCCATCATTTCTAAGTTTGTAAAGTGAGCAAAATAGTAATATAATTAAAAACGTATTTTAAAAGAATACAACTGTGTCAAATTAGTACTTTATTGTACAGTACATGTACTTACAGTGTACTTATACAAGAAAGTACTGGGTATTATATGGTGACTACATGGGTTACGGTTAGGTTTGGGGTAGGTTCAGGTTTAGTATCTCGTTATTACCCAGTTATTGTAACTGCTGTAATAACTACATAGTATGTACACACGGAACAGGACTGTAAAATAAAGTGCTACCTGCATTTGCATATGACATATTTACACAGTAAGTATATTCCCATTATCTTTCTCACTGTTTATCTCTCTCTTTCACAATCACTTGTAATTGAAATATAGGGTTGAATTTTTGCACAAAGCTCAAACCAAACTGTACTTCTCAGTCTAGCGTCTTTCCTGATGAGTTGGGTTTGAGTCCCCTTCACAGCCTGTCAATCGCTACAGACATGGCAGAACCTAGCCTGTAATAAATTAGCCTCATTGTTGCCCTTCGATAATGAGGAAGAGTACTAGGAATGGTGCGGGAATGGATTGGGAATGCTTGAGGCAATGGTTTGGGAATGCCATGAGACCAGTCAGCAGGTACTGTGTGCAAAGCTCACAGAAAGATGGTCATTTGGAGAGTGAATGTGTTTTTAATAAAACCAAAATTTCCTGGATCCCAAGACAATCAAAAGAAGAGGTGGCCAAAGCATTCACATTTTCCTTTCTTTTCTTTTCTTTTCTTTTCTAAACCAAACCAAACCCTACTGAGTGGTCTTGCTCACTGTCTGTATAGCCATTTGCCTTCTAAAGATAGAGTCCATACTGAAATAAACCCTTATAATTGACTGATTTAGTACGCTAGATTGGTAGCTACACTGTGCATCACCCAAATAGTGAAGCACATGGGAGACATCCTCACACAAACCACACCAGAGACTTTAAAAGAGTTTGACATTAGGATGTTGCTAAACATACCAGAAACATAGAATAGCATACTAGCATACTATTCTTACTGTTCCATATATATGCCAAATTCGGCTACAATCTGCACATACACATGTATGTAAAGGCAGATGTGAATGTTTGGTCAGTTCAGCAATATCTAACTTGTACTTGCGTTATGATCTGTTGGGTAGCTAAAACCATCTGTGTTTACAGCCTTAATAAGCATAAAAATACATTGGACACACAAATGTTTTATAACATTGCAATTCAATTAAGCAATGTTTATCAAAACTTTTAAAAACTGAATAAAATATTAGCATATTTATTATAAATGTTGTGAGTAATCAGGTGCTCCTTCGAAATTGGATCTCCATAGGATCCCCAAGTGATCCAATTGGCTTAAAGAACTTTTAATGAATACTCTCTTTAGCGCCTGGTTACAGTTATGATACATGTAGTTTGAACTACATTATAATGAAAATGAATGTCTGTTTTTGTAAGCTTACATACTAGCATAGTATGCATACCCGATTAGTCTGATAGCTTAGCTGATACTCTGTGCATTTGCACTCATCTGTTCACAACAATCTTTATTTATTAAGTTTATGAAGTGAAAGAAATTACATTATGTCCAATTTGTTTTATTATGCACTATAGAGTAAGCAATTACATATATGTTTTTAATAAATTAATTTTGTAATTAGTAACTATTAATGATAGTTGAAGACCGAGGGAGGACAATATTTTTTCACAACACCAGCATTTCTCTCAGCTTTTTTGCTGAGCTTTATTTCATAAAGGATACCTAGCTAACAAGGAACGTTCTCACAACGTCACTAATGTTTCTTCATTAAAAGTTATATAAATGCACAAAACATGGAACATTAATATTTGATATACATTCTCATAGCGTTGTGAGAAACGTTCTTAGAACAACATTCTTGGAACGTTCTTATGATGTTATTTGTCCTTGGTGAATGTTCTCATAATGTTGAGAGAAAACGATTTTAGAATGTTATATTTTGGGTAAAAAATGAAATTAGTAGAATGTTGTAAGAAACATTTTAGTAACAGGAAAACTTGATATTTTAATGTTCTTAGAACATTAAAAACTTTGAAATAACATTATATTTTGGGTGAAAACAAAGTTACTTATACTTATTATTATTAAAACAAATACTGGACATTTAAACATTTTAGAAACATTTCAAAACAATGTTCCCACAACGCTTTTATGACCTAAATTTGTTACCTGGGTATGTCTTATGCTGCTTTAGTTATTTGGCCAAGAGAAGGTGTCTTAAAAAGCAGCATAACTGCATATTGAACAGTCTTTGCTTTGGTTGCACATCCATGATACTTTAAAATGCTATCAAATTGGGCAGCTCATTAGACTTTAGAACAGAGCTTATATTTGACTTTCGAACATGTATCTTCACTCTCTCTCTCTCTCTCTCTCTCTCTCTCACACACACACACACACACACACACACACACAATCCATTTACCTTGTTGTATCCTCTATTCTGGAATTCTTATAAGCCACGGTTGCTGCATTTGGCTGCCAACACTCACTCAGAGTAAGATGATAACAGCACAATCAAAACAGGTCTTCTCTCTGTAAAAGCAGTTCACATTGGTGTCGTAAAAGAGGAAAATACTCAAATACATAGAATAAACGGTTTCTTGCTGGCCGACGGCTCTCCAGGGACTATTAAAGGAGAGAGATGTGGTAGTTAGGGGGAAGAGTGAGAGATATACAGCCAGAGAAAACAGTGAATGAAATAAATATAGAGGGATGAAAGCCACATTTCAGAGTGATGGGTTTCAGCTTTTAGCGCTGAACTTTGTTCTGCTCTTATCTGATTTTCGGCGTGTGTGTGGGTCTGTATGAATGCATGTATACGCATGGCTTGCATCCCAGTTTCTTAGAACTAAGTGACACTTTTGAAGATAGTTTGTGAAGAAGTTTTCTGAAGTAACTCTTTCACACACACATATCCACATATAAACTCTGTTTATGACACTTGTGTGTGATGGTGCTCATAAGACAGAAATACTGATACCAAGGTCTCACCAACCGCAGTCCTGGCAGTTCCTCTGAGGTCAGACCATCTGTACCTAAAGACCTCCTCACGAGGATCAAAAACCACCATCAAAACTCCCTCTAAAGTGGTTCACCATCATGACAAAAATGAGAGAACAATAAATACTGCTAGTTTGGCGGATACTTCACAAAACGCTTCCCAAGCTCTCTTTTTGGAGGTAGGGTGGTTCCTAATGACTTTAAGCTGACATGATTTCTGGGAATCATAAATAATCTTTCAAGGTAAGTCAATGTACGTAGCTGTAACTCTTAAAAATAGAGTTTCCAATTAGATCCAGATCCAGAAAGTTTGATGCCACAGGAGTTTATTGATGTACTGCCACATTTTGTGTCAGATCTGTAGTCAATGATCTCAAACACCATTGATTCACATGTGTCATGTGACTAAATGTGACATGGTAAGTGATACATGGAGACATAAACTTCAAGAAAAGTCACAATATCAAAATAAAGCAATAAGCCCTGCGAAGCCGTGATTTACAGTGAATTTATAACAGCTAAGGGGCATTGTTAGGCACGATGCGAAGCGAAGTCCTTAGCTGTTATAAATTCACTGTAAACCACGGCTTCACGGGGCTTATTGCTTTTATAAAACGGTTATTCCAAATACGTAGTAAGGTTTCACAGAATAAAACAGAGCAAATAAAGTGTAATGATAATAAAAACAGTATTCTTCCACCAAACAATGTAGCTCCTCAGAAACAGTTGTGGTTGCAGCAAAGTGGTTGCTGAGCAACACACAGAAGTAAACAAAGGTGTATGTTTGTAGAGTAATTTACAACAGCTTTGAACGCGGCTCAACCAATCAGAATCAAGGACCGGAACTATCCGTTTTATAAATCAAGTTTTTTTTTTATTTACATTAGTGGTTCTACACTCTAAAAAATATTGTTTGGACGCAACAACAAAAAATGTACGCAACAGTTTGCATCATTTTTTTTTAGTTAAGGCAACTTCTTCTGAAATGAAGTTCAACTAGTAAACTATATTGTGCTATATATACTTAGAAAATTGTGTTAAAACTAACAATTATTAAGTTGAATACTCATGAAAATTAAGTTGTTCTAAGTTGTTTTTTCACATTGTTTTAAATTTGATTCAGTCATGGACACTGGTTACAGAAACTACTAAAATATTATTTTTTGATGAAACAACATTTAATACTGCCAGGAAAACAATCTTTTAGCATTTTCAACCAAATGCCTTCTGATTGAAACAGCATGTAAGACAATGTCCAGTGAGTCTGTTCTCAACCTAAGCAAACGCTCTACTCTTCAGCACAATGGTAATCTCATAAAAACCACCAACATAACAGAAACACATTTAAATACTAAAAGAACCGAACACTGAACATTAATAAATCTTCTCCTGTTCTGATCTTGAATAGAAATGCATAAAATATGAGTTTATTTCTACATTACCGCTCATTATTCAGTCACATGCAAAGCATGCTGGGAACCTGAAACGTGAACTTGAAAAAATGAAGTTATGGAGCTAATTACATTGAGTTAGTACAACTTAAATAATGTTTTAAACAAACTAACACAGATATTTAAGTTGAAGTTACACACAGTATTACGTTGATGTAATTATCAACATTAAGATATCAGGACAACTCATAAAAAAATGTTTAAAACTTAAAATGTTTAATTACTTATTTCTAGAGCTTATTTCCGTGATTCTGGATGGAATCTGCCCTTATTTGGTTTAGTTACTTAAATGGTTGTCTTTTTTTCCTTTTCCCAGGTCTGGATTTTTCCTGTTCTGTGCAGAAGAAAGGCCCAGCATAAAGGCTCAGAACCCCGGTCTGGGCATTGGAGATATAGCCAAGAAGCTGGGAGAGATGTGGAACAATCTGTCTGATTCTGAGAAGCAGCCCTTCCTGTCCAAGGCCAACAAACTGAAGGACAAGTATCAGAAGGTGGAGCATGACCTCTCTCAAAATGCTGTTCATTATTCAGTGTGGATAGTGTTGAACAAATGAGCGATTGATTTCTGAAGGGTCCTGCGGCACTGGAGAAATGGCTGCTGAAAATTCTGCTTTGCCATCACAGGAATAAATTGCATTTTAAAATGCATTCAAATAGAAACCATTTTAAATCGTTGTAATACTTTACAATATTACTGGTTTACTGTATTGTTTATTCAGTGCAGCCTTGATTAGCGTAAGAGTTGTGTTATAGTGTTTTGTTTTCTCAGGACATGGCTGACTACAGAGGAAAGGGGAAAGGAAGCGGAGGGGCATCATCTGCCAAATCCAAACCCAAGGATGACGATGATGATGATGACGACGATGAGGAGGAGGATGAAGAAGAGGAAGATGAGGATGACTAAAGAACTCGTTTGTCCTAATTGGGCAGCAAGTTATTTGTTCGCTGCCAATTAGTATCAGTTAAGTCTGGGTCTAAGAGGTCTTGATGTCAAGGCTGCTATAAACTGATCACCAGTAGAGATGCCCAATGCATGCAAGCTCTGACTTTAGACAACCAAACTTTCTCAGTGCTGGGTTTGCTGGTGGTCCAGTTACAGCTTGCTATTAAACTGCATTGGCAAAAACAAAATATTTCCACACCGTTCAACAATAAACAAAGTGGTAGCAGTACATACTCTTTTAAAACTATTTAAGGTGGTGTGTTTCTGTGTGGCTGTTGACGTAGTTATTTTTTATTTTTTTTTTCTACTCTTCCCAGCTTTCAAAATGCACAATTTGTTGCTATATTTAAAGTTCAGTTTCGTTCGGCCCCATAAGCTTCCTGCATTGTTGAAAGGATGTTTGTGAATTGTGGTTATATTATTATTTGTGTAATTTTGACTGATTACATTGATAATTTTATGTGTGGAGAGTCTAGGGACATTTTCAGCTTTAACCAGAGGCAAGTGATGAAATGTTAAGCTGGGGAAAGCTCTTATTTGCACCTTCAGTTTTTTTTTTTTTTTTTATGTCTAGGTGACACTGTGATTTGAAATAAACATGGCATTTTTAGATCTCAAATGATTCAAGCGACTTTCTTATCTGCAAAATGTAGTGTGTAAATACTTGGGGTATTTGTCAATGTTATCAATAAAAGGATAAATGGTTATAGTTTCTTTTAAGAGTGCTCATTTAATTTGGATTTGTTGTCATTCTCTCCAATTAATCATAACTCTGATAATGCATTGACTGGGGTGAGCCACTAGATGTCAATGGAGGGCATCTATTGCACAAACTGTTTTAAAGGCAGAGTAAGGGATTTCTGGTAGTCAATGTTTATATTTGAAATCACCAAAACAAACACGCCTCTACCCCAAAAGGGTCTTGCCCCTATTTTGATAGCTCTGCCCCACATATACGTACGCAACCCAGGCAACGATTAGTTCTGTGAAACAAAGCAAAACCAATGTTACACCGTGTCTACGGACGTGAGCGGCGCGGCGCAACAAATCCCGACAGAAAACTGCTGCCGGGTTCTATTTATGACGTGCTGACACAAATTTCAAATGGTTTTCAACGGTCGTTTGATCGCGTCCAGTGTAGTCAGACTTTAGCTGTTGTAGACACGGTGTTACTCACCTATTGAGAAGAAACAAAGCAACCTCGGCGTCCGATCGCAGGCCTCCGCTCCTTGAGTTCTCTCCAGCGCTGGAAAGCTGATCCGATATTTACACGGGTCCTACTTCTTGCCTTATCTTTCCGCAGACGTTTTCCTCTTTTGTTTTTTTATCCGCCATCTCTATCTTTCTGTCGCTCGGCTCGGCTAATGTCCGTCCCATGCACTGAACGCGCTCTCCTCCACATCACGAGTAGACACGCCCCTTATTGCTGATTGGCTACAAGTTTGTTTTGCGATTCGGCCCGAATCAGTTTTCTAAAGTGTTTTTGAAAAATCACATACCCTGCCTTTAACATCCATAGAACCTTTCCATTGCACAAAATATTTGGAAAATGTATAATGGAAAAAGGTTATTGAGATTATTATAATGTTCTTAACTCTAAGAAAAAAATGGTTCTTTTAAGAACTGTTCACTGAAAGGTTCTTTGGGGAACCAAAAATGGTTCTTCTATGGAAACACTGGAAAAACAAACTTTTGGAAACACAGTGTATATGCCACCTTAAAAGTAAAGGGTTTTGCACTTTACACTTACATTTGAAGAATCTATAATGAAACATCAAGAACCTTATAGTGTAGCTCAAACACTGTATAATGCCAAAATACTGCTGAACCCAAGAGTCACTGAAGAACGCTTTATCTTTAAGAGTTTATACTAGCTATTACTGTCTCTGTCTGAATAAAGGGAGTAAAAATGAATAAACGGAGACAGTGTTTTGTTACGCCCTCATAAAGGGTGGTCTGGTGTCTGTGTTGTCCTTTATCAGATGTCTGTTGTTAGTGGCAGTCGTTTTCTCACGCTTTATCTTCACTGTGATCTCTCTGTCTCTCAGGACTATTTCTCTACCCACCCTCTCGCTCTCTATCAACGCTTCCCATCCTGATGGCCCTCAAGAAGCAGCGGGGGCTTTACAAAGTCAAACACAGTAACGTCAGCAGTGCAGGACAGGCCAGAAACAGCATTCATTGGGATGTTGGTTTGGAGTGAGGTTTGGATGATGGAGACACCTCAAGTTTGAAGAGATCGCTCAGTATCAAGTTTTCAGAAGTGTTTCTGAAATATGGTAAAATGCTGGGGAAAATCCTCCATGAAGGCGGTTGTGTGAACTGCCAAAATGAGGTCTGTCTGCAGAGAAAATATTTGCACAAAGAAATAGAGACCCTGAGGAATGAGAAAGAAAGAGCTTTTTTTTGGAGGTACTCAGTGGTCTGTACTTCTGTTAGGATCTGGTACCAGCCTCAGTCTGACTGGTTGTGGAGTCAGGAAGAGATGCAGAAATACTTCAGTTTGGATGATTCCGTATTATAGACAACACTATCATCGAGCTAAAGTTAGGATGAATTGCTGTGGATCCATTACAAATGACTAAAGTATACTTTAAGCAACACAGCAAGTTTGTGGTGACATTTCTGCAATATATTATGTTGCTACTTGCATTTTTTGCAACACTTTAAAATTGACGCTTAAACTGTGTTTAGTTCTATCCAAAACAGATCAACATGAATCTGGCAATGTTTTATTACTTCGGGTGTAGTACATATCATGCCATTCGTGTTTGAAAATTATGTAGCTCCTACACTTAACCCTATGCTAAACCTAACTGATAGTGTAAACAAAAGCAAACAAGATACACATGTATTTGCTATGAAGCAACCATGCCATTTTAGCCTGTTTTCTTTTGTGCTCTTTTTCTGACTTGCATCGAATGCAATGCTTTACCAGGTGTGCTACCAAGCAAGTTTACTATGTCAAAAATGCCATATGAAGCTGGCTGTATGATGCAAATGATAAAATGTAATAGTGTTCAAATCATGCACTATGGTAAAAGTCATAAAGTCAGTATTTTGCAAGGAATTGTGTGAAAATAAGTATGCCCCGTAATCATAATTTGTGTGAAAAGGAATAAAAGTTGGTGGTTTGCTGCCACTAGTGTTCACCTCAGCTTAAAACAGCAGTGAATTGCATAGGTGTGTTTTTAGAGCTTTGCAAAAAAGTTTTTCCAATGAGCCTATAGGTTGATTTTAAAGAAATAGTTCACTCAAAAATAAAATGGTGTAACCCTTTTATCATTCCAAACCCATATTACTTGTTTTTAAGAATGTCGAGGCTACTATTTTTCGTACAATAGCAGTTGAATAATCTGTTAAACTCCAAAAAGGAGATATAAAAGCAAAAGCTTGTGATTTAAACCCATCATCTTTACTTAATCTGGGAAAACAGACAAAATATTAATCACTTTGTTAATCAATATTTATTTTGGTCCAATCAATACTCTTTAGAATAAGCATGTCCTTCCCCCAATACCACCTGCCACTGACTAACAATAGCTAGTAGCAAATCATGGCTTTGCTGAGCTGTGATGTAAACTGATGTCAATTGGCTATTACACACAGCTGTTTAGTTCACATGCGTGTGTGTTTGGGTGTGTGTGGTCAGCATGTGATCAGTGACTCTAGCTGAGAGAGTAAAAGTTGATGCTCAAGTGTGTGTGTGGGTGTGTGTAGGGTCAGGTCAAGGGTCACTGAGTCCTAATCGACGCAACTCTCCATCCACAGACTCCTCACTGCAGGCATCGTGGCAACAGGGGTCAGCGGGGTCCCTAGGGTTACCGGGGGTCAGGGGATGGAAGAAGATGGGCCACACAGAGATCACTCTCACAACTTCTGTCACTCCAAATACTCTTCATCTCTTCAATGCATTCAGTAACCTCGCAAAGACCCCATGAAAAGGTCTGACAAGCAGTTTTTTTTTCTCTTTGTTGACGTATGTCCTATATAGGAAGTTGGGGAGGGATGTACTGATGAGCTTGATGGCCCTTCATATTAGACTTTCCATTCACCTTCGTTCAAAAGCATCCAAATGTGGAAGGAAAGTTTATTTATTTATTTATTGACCTTGCAGATTTCTTTAACCATTTTTTTCCACATTATTTTTGTTCTGTTTCCTCAAAAGAGAATAATATAAATATGTGTATTTATTACAAGTTAATTTATCATACTGATGGCCTCAAACTTGATGTTAATGACACCAAACACCATTGGTCCTCATAACTGATCATGCAGAAAGTTGAAATTCCTTAATGTACTTTACTGAGGTGAGTCTGGAAATGACCACCCTGTACACGCAATTCACGATTGTACAAACTGTTTATTCGCACAATTTACCCACAGACACTGGTTTTAGTCTAATGGCCATTGGTCTTAAAAGCCCTGTGTGTCTGTATCCCCCTTTTCCTCAGATGTTCTCAGCAGAAACCTGTCTTTAACACATCCAGGTTGGTAGAAGGGCCATTACACAGCATCTAAACATGTGAGGCACGCAAACACTGAGCTGGGATTGTTAACGGCAACTTATATTCACATCCATCCTCCATTTATTGCGGCTGGTTGTACAACCAGGTTGTTTATAAAGCATTAAATCAAATAGTTTATTAAAGAAAACACAACGTGTACATGAAACAGGGACCACACAGACAGACTAGAGGCTAATGTTCATACTGAGGTGCATCAGCTCTGTTTGGAAGTCAGATGTAAATATAACATGTCAGTAAAATGGAAATGTTCATTTAATTTAATGCTGTTATATGTTTAAATCTGGA